TGTATGTATGTATGTATGTATGTATGTATGTATCTATCTATCTATCTATCTATCTATCTATGTATGTATGCAGAGTCAAAGAACGACTCCTTCAGTACACCAAAACAAGTTAATCTTGGCCGTCCCTTGAGTCTTTTGCCTATCGGCCAGGCAAGGAGTAGCCGCTTCGCTTTCATTTCTGGAGACATTCGCAACACGTGCCCAAATCATCGCAGCTGTGACTTCTTATCTGAAGAAATGGCGACTGTACATAAGGCACTCTTAGAATTTTGTGTTCCAGACCATGTCGAAATGCACAAGGCCAGCGATTTATCTCAGATAGACCATTTCAGTCGCCTGTACTCAGGATCGAAGTTTTTCAATCACAGTTCACGGCTCATGACCGAAGGTAAGTACAGCGATGAAGATCAACAGAGAATGCCACTGGCTACTCCAGTCCGCCGGTCGATTTCTTCCTCACACTATTCATCACCAGTAAACACGACCCCGAAATACTTGAACTTCTCCACCTGCTCCACTGCTTCTCTGTTTATCTGAAGAAAGCAACGCGCAGGAGAACGAGAAAGCACTAGGACTTTCATTTTAGATACGTTCACACGTGACGGCCACATAGGGATTCGGCAGCAAACCATCACAGAGAACACTGGGGACTAGTTTCAGAAGGTGCTAACAAAACAAGGTCATCTATAAGCAGCAACTTCCCCTTTTTATATGTCCTAAGTTGATACTTGTGGCTCTGGCTGAAACTGACTACTTTGTCAATGTGCAGTACAAACAGGAGAGGGGGCAAAACGCAATCTTCGGGAAGATTAGTACCAACAATGAAAAACTCTAAACATAACGCCATTTACTCTGACGCAGCACCGCCTGCTATCAATAGAGTAGTGACTGAATGACTCATGGAAATTGGCCATCGAACCCACACATTTGAAGGCGCACCCATGCCTGCCGCGCTGGACATGTTACAGGCGTTCACAAGATGAACGAAGGACACGTAAACTTGATGAAAATTCCCACGAATTCTCAACAATTCTACTATACGTTGCCCGACATGAAGCAACACTGCTCTTCTTGGACCTTAGAGTCAGCTGTTCCGCGGCACCCCATTTTCAACACAATAGCCTAGACTTTTCCGGGAGACTCAATATAGTAATGCCCTGATACTCGGAGCAATGCATATAGCCTCCATTTCTGAATAGCGGTATTGCTACTGCAGTACTCCACTCCGCTAGTGTCTTTCCTGTAGCCAGTGCGGTTTAACAGAGAGGTATTATCAATAACATGCCGTCTTCGACTGAAGCCTTAAATATTTCAGGAAGGATTTCATCGATTTCAGCACTATTTTCAAGCTTTGTACAACTTTTGTGATTTCTTCTACCGAAAGACTAATATCATTGCCTGTTAATCTTCAGGGGAATCTTCCGGCAGTTGCCCAGAGTTAAGAGTTCCTAAAAGTACTCTCGATATCGCGGAAATATAACCTCTTCCATGGTAAGCAAGCATCCGGGTTTGTCCTTCGCGACTTTCAAAGTGCCCTTCTTTCCATCGTAGATACGGAGCATGAGCTGTCAGAATACCTTGTTTGTCTGTGGAAATTCGACTCCAACAGCTCGCCGAACCTTTTCCAGAAATCGGTTTTTTCTTTCACTGCTGCCTTGTGCGCTTCTTCGTGATGGGTTGACAGCTCTGCTGTTACGTAATTTTTTTTGGAACGTTCTATTTAAAAGTGGAACGTTTTCGTTACAGCGACTGACGGGAATACTGAAATAAGTACAAATGAGCAGAAAGGAGAGATTATTATTACCATTTCTGGCACAGGAGCTTTGATAAGCTGCTAAATAGGGCAGTTCGAGATAAAGTCAATTTTAAGCGCCTTGTTTTTTTTCCACTCGAGCTCATATATTTGTGATACCTTGCTCCTGTGGACCAGGATGTCAGCGAAATGGTTCACAAAACCAACTATCTTTTGAAACCCACATGACATGCAGACAAGTAGCAGGTCAAGGGCAAGGGTGGTCAAGTTTTACACCCCTGCCATTTTCGCGTGTTCATGGTGCTTGTTCGATCAAGAGAGATATCAACAGAATGGTGTTCTGAAGCTCCTCCTGCGGCAGCCTGATAGGAACTGTGGACTCTGAAATGAATGAACGAATGGAATGCATCACGTGCAAACTGTCAGCGGCAGAGCCTGATATCGCATATCGACATGTAATCTGCAAATTCTGCGATGAGAACTGATTCGCTATAGTCATAAGCATTAACTAAGAAATCGTGATATAATGGCTAATGATGTAAATGGAATTTGCAATCACTGCTGACGAAGTAGTTAGACCTAGAAAACAATCTACTCATGCGTGAATGTTCGCAGAAGCTGCTGCTGGGGAAAACGAACCAGAAATCAAGAAAACGAACTGAATCTACAGCTAATGATCCAAACTCACACTTAATTTCTTTATTTTTAATACTCCAACTAGCAATTATGAACGTCAGTGATTTGACTGACGAGGAGGCCGTGACTGAATCAATGCTAAATGATAGAAAAATTTCAGGTTACTCAAATGCTCCCTAAGCCAGAATTTGTTTATTTTTTATCACCATTCTATGAGACCCTTCGGACCACCTGATTATAAATTTTTCGTATTCGAGTTTCCAAAGTCATTGATAAATTTGTCTACATCCACGAAATTTTCAGATCACAACACACGCGCCTTTCAAAATGCATAATGCTACTTAGTTGCGCATGCGAAACATGCCAAACGGCTGGGTCCCAGCTATCAAAATAGAGAATCGGTAAATAACTTACTGTCGTTACCACAATTTCAGTAACAGCGCTGTCCCAATTTTTCTTCGAAAATATCTTGCAGCATGCACGAATAAGGAATCCTTTCAAAGGGGACGTTTCGCGAAACAGCGGAATCTGGAAACAATTTTTAAAAATTTAAAACTCGAAATATTAAATGCCATAACAGTTTTGATTGGTGTTTGAACAATTCATGGTTTAAGGCACCAAATACAACAGACAATACAACAATTTATTGTCGTCGCGTTTCGCTACATAGACAATAGCATCATTAGGGCAAGGTTAAGTACAAATGTACTAGCTATTTTACTTCTCTATTCCTTCTTTTGTTCAATTGTAAAGGTAAAATGCTGAACGAAGCAACAGAATGTCACAGCTGACCAGAAATGGCAGAGCCTTCCTTTTTATAATGAATCCAGCATCGCTGCTTACAGCTAAGTTCTCGAAGGCCTTCCGAAAAAACGTCTGGTTTCTGTTATTCGACATCGAACAAATTCAGCATATGTTCAGTACATGTTCGAGTTTCCCTTATTTTAATAACGCCTGTCTTGATATTCCCCG